AGGAAGGCCTGGCGCAATATGGTTCATGGGGTCACGAAGAGTCGGACACGACTTAACGACTAAACAACAACTGAGCAAGGGTGTAGTGTAAGATCAGACTGCAGGATAGCAGTAGTAAACACTTTTGAAATAAATTTGGAAAAGTGGTTTCAAATAGTCCGTCTATCAGTACAATGCCCCCTGTCTGAAGATGTTCTATCCTTTATTTGTTTTACTGTTTATTTACTACATTTACATTCCACTTTTCTTCCAATGAGCTCTAGCTAACACATTTATTCTCACAACACAGTGAGGCAGTATGGCTGACTCAAAGTTATTGAATGAGCTTTGTGGTTAAACGTGGGTCTTCCCAGTCTTAAACCGACACAATAACCCTTGCACTACCTAACAGACCATAGCTTAATTTCTGTTCTAACTTCACTTTAATGAATTCCTTCAGAGTTTATAGTATGGAAATTATTATGTAACAATGTCATGATTTGTCATGTTTTTTTTTTTAAGGCATCTGATTATGAAATTCGACAGTATGAACCTGCCAAATGGGTATGCACATCTCTTAAAACCATAGACTGGGATGCAGCCATCAATACTGGCTTCATGAAGCTCTTTAACTATATTAAGGGCAAGAATGAAAAAGGTAATATACAGGAGGTATTGGGGCCAATTTATGTATCATATTTTCTTGCAGTTGTTCCTCTTTCTTTGACAAGGAAAAAATAAATGCCAGGCACACACATTTCATCATTTCCCAAAATGTTTTGGCTCCTTAGATGTCCCATGTGCATATTCTAAAATCTTTTATTAGAAGTTGTTTTCTTTATTTTTTGGAGTAAAAGCATATGCAAATATTTCTGCTAGATATTTTGAAACAGGGATAAAGAATAAGTAAGTTCTTATATGCAGCCCTTATGGTAACTTTTATATGATTAAGATTTTAAAGAGCTTAATCATAGCTTTCACTAAAGCAAAATATGTTTCTAGCCCTGTAAGTTGCTGAATCGAATGAACCTGTTTATATTAAGCATCCAGGGTACACAATTTTGTAATACAATGTCTTCTTGAATTTGGGTAGAATTTTTTTTTCCAGATGAGTACTTGAATGGTAAATTCCGGTGATTCATGACAAAAGTATTGACTGAAACTTTTTGAGAGCTTTAACAGGAAATACTGTTATCAGGATATTGGAGGAAATAACCAAGACTAGGAATTTGCATGCTTATCTGAATAGGTGGACCCTGAAATGGATGATTCTAGTTAAAATGGGTATTTATCTCTTAATCAGCCATATCAATTCTCCCATGCAGTAAATCACATATATTTGTTTCTTATTTGCGTAGTTATTAGGACTAGCAAATCCAAAACTCTGCATGAGAGGAAAAGATTATCTATATCTCTTTGTTGCCTTCTAATGGCCACTTGGCTTCCGCAACCCAGATCTAGTAACCCTAATATTGTAAACATATTGAAATATCTTGTGCAGTTGGAAGATGTGTAAATGCTTCATTCTCAGCAGAGCATTTGATACTTTCAGAGAGTAATTTGGAATGTTGGTTATTCTATGTTATGATGCGTCACTGTGAAAATCGCACTAGAAGAAATGTGTATAAACATATAGTATAAAGATAAGATACAGCTGCTAGAAAAGTAATCATTCTGAGGACATTCATTTTGCAAACTATAGTATGGACAAATTGCCTCAATCCTCTAAATGTTTGTTTACAAATTGCAAAAATATTTAATAATTGCGTTGGAACCATTCTTCTACAATAGTTGTCAGGTGCATTTTTAAATATTTCCAAATAAAATTACCTCATTTGTAGGTTAATTGGATTTCTGCCCAGAAAGCATAGTAGATATATTTGCTGTTTTGATTGAGTTAGCTTAAGGCTAGTCATTGGGTTATATTTATTTCCTATGTAGTTAATATTGAGCTATATGTTTTCCCAGAATTAAACTATTTTAATCATTACTTTTGGCTAATGATAGTATTATTTAATGTACGAGTTAAGAGAAATGTCAGGAATTTAGCATCCTAATTTTAGGACTTATTCCTTAATGTTCAGCAGTGCCTTTAATGTGCTTCTTGGTAGGGCTAATAACACTCTTATTCCTGCCTTTTGCAGGAACAAAGATAGCTATGACAGCTCCAGTGACATGCTATGTCCAGCCAGGGGCTGGCCCGTTCAGTGAGTCCGTCACAACAGTTGCCTTTTATTTACCATCTCAGTACCAGGCAAACCCACCCAAGCCTTCAGAAGCAGATGTCTTCATCGAAACCAAGCCAGGAATTACGGTGTTTGTCAGGTAAATGTTGGCCTCTCCAAAGGGACCCTCCCTAGTTCCTTGGACTGTAAAGACAAGGGGGGAGAGATGTACATTCATCTCTTGCAAGATTCTGTTACTGTAACCTTACAATAAAAGTAGTGGAGTCCTTAGGGACTACTAATAGAAGTAGTGTTAGTACTCATGGTTAGTGCTGCTTGTCTGGATTAGACTAGGTCTCTGCACGTCGCTCATATTTAAAGGAAATGTTGATAGCAATATTTTTGAAGTTTAATAAAAAAAAAATTAAATCTATACATTTAACACAGTCCCTGTTCAAATGTCTAAATATTCCCTCAAATGTCTAAATATTCCATATCTGCTGCAGATTATTAACTGGCCAGTTGGGATGTATGAAAGAAAGGAGGTTCCCCCCCCCTTTCTACTTAGCAATCTCAATATGCTGATGTTTAATCAGTTGGGGTGAAAGATAACTCTTGTACACAACAGTTAATTGGTTGTAATGAACTATATTAGGGCTGAAAGCAATTTACCGCTGTCTGTTAATAACTGTTGTCTGCCACCTTGTGGTAAATAAAATATGTTGTATATAGTTTAAAATATTCTGGGATTTTTAAAAAACCTGCTAAAATCAAAAGTTTGAAAAACTTCTCAGATACAGTGGGGCAAAAAAGTATTTAGTCAGCCACCAATTGTGCAAGTTCTCCCACGTAAAAAGATGACAGAGGCCTGTAATTTTCATAATAGGTATACCTAAACTATGAAAGATAAAATGAAAAAAAAAACCCAGAAAACCCC